AAAACACCTATGTTTGTTTCACTAGTTTAAAGTACCTGAGTTTGTTTCACTAGTTTAAAGTACCTAAGTTTGTTTCACTAGTTTAAAGTACCTAAGTTTGTTTCACTAGTTTAAAGTACCTAAGTTTGTTTCACTAGTTTAAAACACCTATGTTTGTTTCACTAGTTTAAAACACCTATGTTTGTTTCACTAGTTTAAAATACCTATGTTTGTTTCAGTGGTTTAAAATACCTATGTTTGTTTCAGTGGTTTAAAGTACCTATGTTTGTTTCAGTGGTTTAAAATACCTAAGTTTGTTTCACTAGTTTAAAGTACCTAAGTTTGTTTCATTAGTTTAAAGTACCTATGTTTGTTTCACTAGTTTAAAATACCTATGTTTGTTTCAGTGGTTTTTAAAGTACCTATGTTTGTTTCAGTGGTTTAAAGTATCTAAGTTTGTTTCAGTGGTTTAAAGTACCTAAGTTTGTTTCACTAGTTTAAAGTACCTTACTTGCACTAATACAAAATATTGGTATTAGCCGATATGGCTGGGTAGTCATCAACTATCAGAATTAGCCAAGAAAATCTTAATCAGTGTACCCCTAAATAAATCTGTTATGGATTCCACTACATGTAACTAACATAAAATGATGTTAGAGCTGTGAAAGTGTCATAGATACTGTTAGGGAAAATCAAAGTTTCCTTGATTAGCTAGAATATCATTTGTGATAGATGTTATGTATTTTAAGAACTATGAAATTTGATTTCTACTCTGGCAGACAGGTAATACTATGTTGATATAAAGTTGTCTCCAAAGAAACTTTTTCTTTATACACTGTACTAATGATTAAATCATTGACAAGTTTCCATTTTTGTGTAGTGGACCAAGCCTTTTCAAAACTACGATTTGTAAACAGTAATTTTATTCTATTGTAAAATATTTTTTAAAGCAGAGAAGTTCATGAAGTGAATCGAGACAAAGATGAAGCATTTGAAAGAGAAATTCCTCACATCCAGGGAAGCCTAACTAATGACTTGTATGCTGTTCCTATGAGGAAGAAAGTAGGAAAAACAGACAGTGAGAAGGATTCTCTGTCTCATAGTAACTCTCTTCAGGAAGATACGAGCAATACTTCAAGTGATGCTGATGATGATTTGTTACCTCGTGGATGGGAAAAACATGAAGGTTTGCAGCAACTGAAATATACTTTTGTTATGTTCTTATTTATACACATACAATCATACACTGTTTATTTGTAGATAGTGATGTTTGTTTGGTTTGTAGACCCATTATGGCTTACAATATCTATAGCATATAACTTATGCCAAACTCAAAATGTCATATAGAGGTGGAAAGAAAATCTAAAATGGGCAATTTGGAACAAGGAAATGTCACATGATACAGAAAAGTGAAGGTTGAGAATTTATTTAAATATTTTCCTTTGAAATTAAACTTCTATTAAAACTTGAATTATAAACTACTTTTTAATGTCAAGTTGGTTAACTCTCATTACCAAGTTGGTTGAATCAATCGACCCTGTAACCATTTACTAAAGATCTGAGTGCTAAGTGATTTCCATTTTAGATTAAAAATACTTTTCTTCATTCAAAAATCTCAGATTTGATTTGTGTAATCTCAAAAACCTCCAAAATACATTTCAAATGTAAAACTTTATACTTTATCTGTTATTCTCTCTACTCTATCTATATACGGGATTGGTCAATTTGACCTACATCATAACCACAAATAAAAATATCTAAATGAATCTAAATAAACCCTTTTTCTTTTTGGAATTACTTCAAATTGTAATATGAAACCGCATTCATTTATCCTAAGTAGCTTTAAGCTCATAACAATATACATCTATTTATAATTAAATTTTATTGTTTTATTACCTTTTGAACCCCTGTCTAACTACTATTCATGCCATTATAAGTTGTAAATCACTTAGCAAATGTTCTACTCATGAGCAGCATACCTCATGAAAAATTTTATTATATTGGTATTATTATTTATTTTTATTTAATCTATCTAACCTTAACTAACATAAAATGTTTCCTATTTTTTACATTTTAGTTACTGTTATAATAATAATTAAAATATGCACATGAAAAACAAGAGAAAAAGTACTTACCTTGATCTTTTATATATTTTTTTTACTGTCGATTGTCCATGGAATTTAATATATTTTATTTAATTAAATAATGCACCAAAGAATATAGAATAATAATGTGCAAAAAACAGACAATGTCCCATAACTATCACAAATTTTCTGCCTTTCTTTCTGTGTGATAAGAGCCATTAAATCTTCATTTAAGCTTATTGATGTGTTTCCTGTGGGAATCAAGCTTGAACTGAAAATGAAACTGACAGTTTTCTTTACAGAAAACATCATAATATAATATGTTATTTGGTAGATGAAAAGCTTGATTTTCTATAGGTTATAATTAATATAGTGTTGAATGTCAAAGAAAACTATAGGTAATTTCTGAAAGAGAAGATGTGACAGGTGGGTGTGGCAAGAGGGGTCTAGTTGTCTATTTCATGGCTCTGTAACCAAATAAGATTGAAGGCTATGAAAATTGTGCCTTCTCTGAGCAAGGACCATATTATAATAAGTAATATATGTTAAATTTTGTACTCCTACTACCACTCCTAGGGGTGGTAAATAAATTAGAGAAGAGGGGATGCCAAGAGAGCAAGTGTCATAATTCTCACATATAGGGAAATTGTAGATTTTTTAAAAATATTTCCATATAAAAGTAAAAACTTCTCTAAACATGTGGTACATTGTAATGAGATTATATATCCAAAGCTCTGATTTTGTTCTGTTTCCAAATCTGACTTTGCTAATTCATTAATGATTAGTTTGAGCATGTTGCATCAGGTTAGAGATGTGTCTGAACTCATATGTTGACTCAAGGTAAAATTAAAAACGTTTCTATCACAACACCAATACATTTTGTGTATTTTGTATCATTATCTTCATAACAATCATGTTTTATATAGAAATAACGATTGAACGTGTATTCTCTTAAGCTATATGTTTATTTTAATTACTCAATTTGGATATCATATCTTACGTTAGTAACCTCTCTGTTTGCTCTCTACAGACGACAGTGGACCTTATTACTGGCATATCAGTAGCGGTACCATCCAGCGAGAAGCCCCTCCACCTATGCCACTCAACGAAAGAAGCAGAGCAAGAAAAATCTCCAAGGGCTTTCACTCGCAGGTGTGTTGTCTTCTCATGTGTCATATAAGAAGTTTCTTAATGATTTCAGCTAGGTTTAGCACTTATATTAGGTAGCCTTAAGATTCTGTTTCTTAAATAGTAAACTTCATTGATGTTTTAAAGTAAGTGCTAACAAAATGAAGTGTGATACAGGAATTAAATTTTTTATATTTAATGTGAAACATTCAACTGGAACTTCTTTGTGTAAGAAATTTATTCATACATGTTAGAGTGTTAATCACTGAGTTTTACTGAACTAGATGTTTGTTTAGTGGTCCATATACTTCATACATATTAGAGTGTTAATCACTGAGTTTTACTGAACTAGATGTTTGTTTAATGGTCCATATACTTCATACATATTAGAGTGTTAATCACTGAGTTTTACTGAACTAGATGTTTGTTTAATGGTCCATATACTTCATACATATTAGAGTGTTAATCGATTTATAACATGCGTTATAAAGGTTGTTAAGTTTAAAGTGACTGTGGAAACTGTGTATTACAAAGTTGTATCAAGAAAGAATAAACTAGGTTTAATTAAGAAAGGACTTGTATCGCTGAAGTTCCTTGGAAAGAACTTATACTGGAAATTAACAAACAAGCAGATATGCAACACAAACATCTAGTTCAGTAAAACTCAGTGATTAACACTCTAATATGTATGAAGTATATGGACCATTAAACAAACATCTAGTTCAGTAAAACTCAGTAGTGATTCACACACTTTACTTATGGTGCCTACTGTTCGCTTGACTCAGTTATCTCTATCTTCAATTTATCTGCACATCTATCTCTCACTGGCTTTATTTGACGGGCTTATATACTAAAAAAGAGGGCGCCTGACAAACACTCGGACATTCGTGGGGTTCGTCGATAAGTCATGATCCTTCTAGAAACTCCAGCGTGCATGCTCCCAGCGTCACGTAACTTCTGCTGTCATAACACTGCCCCTTTCTTAATGTTGCTCATCCCGAACAATAGCTACTTACATTAAACAAATGGATAACTAACAACAACTTGATTAAATGTACATAATTTACAAACACAAAATTAAAATACAACAAAGTCTCTTAATTTTACAGGACGTTTCTTCTTTCGTACTGGTCTCCGTCTCATTGGCTTCTGTTTCACGAGTGGTTCATCTGCTCCATCAGGAAATGTCCCATTATCGGTAACAGTCACATCAGTGATAGTAACTTCGTTAACAGCTTCACTGTTTTCCTTTTCAAAACCGAGTAGAGTTTCTTCTTCAACAGTGGCTTCTTCAGGTGGCACGTCTTCAGCAGCGTCATTTGTTCTGTTGTTCACTTCG